GGGGGGGGGGGGGGTAGGTTTGGTTTGTTGGCTGATTCTGATTTGATTAAGTCTATGTTTTGTCTGGGATTTTACCGACTTGAAACATGAGATCGGTAATCTGTCGCGTCAAAACCTTTCAAACTTCAAATTCAAATTTTGGCGTCAAGGATTCAAATGCGAGACTTGATAGTTTAAAGCTTGAGTGTTACTCCGCCGACTGAACCACTTCTGAAAAAACAACGGCTATTGGTGGTCGTCTAATCAAAGTTGTCACATTCTCGAGTAATTTGTGACTTCACTGGAAAGTAAAGCCATATAATCTTTCTGTCTGTCTTAATAACACGGAGTATGAAAAATAGAAAGAAATTACAACTTTTCGATGTTTATAAAGTTGCGTTTTTCGGCAAAAACCGCCAAAAATGACAACTGATTCACTGGTAATAAAAACCACTGGACTACCAATTTCTATCATTTTTCTATAACTGATCTGTAGTTGAGGTTTTATTAAAACAAAAATGGAAAGCGTAACCAATTTTTTCAAGTTTTATTCAATTGCAGTCGTAGTTTTGAAAGTGAGCTTAGTTCCAGAATTGAGTTGCGCTGTGGGCAATGAAAAAGAATATATTATGAAGGAGAGGGATTACAAAAATTATTTTCCCACCGAAAAGTCTGAACTTTCGGAGTCTCACCTCAACATCAGACATAAACGTGAGTTAACGATAACCACCCTAGTCCGATGGTTACTTTTTAACCCGTTACGACTTTAAGATAATAATTGTGGCTTCTACGATTCGTCGAGGACCCAGAAAAACCCATCCGGCCTGTCTAAGCATAGTGTGTTTCTCTTACCTCTCACATTCTGGGCAAAGTTATTTTGTTGAGCAAAGCTCTTTTTTGCAACTCAAGGCCATTTTAAACCCTTAATAGCTGCAGCTGGGTCTAAATAAATATTCCCTAGCTCGTTTCAATAACGTTGACTTTTTCTGTTTTTGATGCTCTCGGCCTTTTTTAAGTCAAAAAATAGTTTTTTGACCCATTGTCTTCCAGATACCATAGTTCAGTTTCCACTTTTTCAACGTTGTTCTTTAGTAAATCTTGAATCAGCGTCGTCTGCAATTTTTTTGCGATAACCGATTTATCTGCTACCCAGTTTGAAAAGAATCTTTCACGTTTAGCATTTGAATGTACGGACATTGATGATCTCAAACTAAACAGTACAATCTGCAGAAATATTCTGACCAATCACAGATCGGGAGACGGCAGCACTAGATTTCGGCTAAATGACCGCATGCGAGTGATGTCTCCGAATATATTTGGCCAGGAGCACGTTCTGTCGGCCGAACGGGAGATCCACTTGTATAATCTGATGCACACTTTTGGATTTTTCGTCGAAGTGCCAGACTGTTTCAAGAAGATCAGTTTTATTACATGTCTCAGTTACTTTCCCGGTAAGTGAGTAGTCAACGCAAAGCTAAAAACATCCAAATTGACCAATTTTAAATTTTGTTTGATAATTTGCTAATTTGAATCGTTTCTATTTGAAGACTAACAACACTGCTCGTATCAGGGCAAAACTTTGAATTTTATGACTGCATATTTAGGCCAATTTTAAAAAAGTGGTTAAAAATTGATAAGAATTGTTAAAAATTGATCAAAGAAAATCATGTTTTAATCATCCCAAAATGGCCAAATTAGCAACTTTTGAGCCTCCATAACTATGCAAAAAGTCATCACAGGAAAGTTTTTTGTACATTGGCGCTCTGGACAGCGACATTTTTTCTGATAATTTAAATAAAAAATTCCATGGAAAACGCTGAATTAAGAAATCCAAATTAGACTGAATAAAAAAACCACCACACTCATAATAATTTCGCCAATTTTTTTAAATGTTTTGCGCGTTAGTTGTCCCTAATTAGCTTAGCTGGTGTTTTTCAGAACGCCAAAACCTTGCAAAAAATGATCACAAGTGAAATATCGCGTAAGCGTAGAGTTAATCCGTCTTAGAAATTGTTCCAAATTGGTTGAAAGAAGCTTATTTGCCATAATTGATTTGATACAAGGTGCGAAATCTATCCTTTTGTACTTTATATGGCGTGTGGGGAGATGATTTTCAAAAAAAAACTTCGAACTTTGGAAAAAAAGTTTCATTTTGTTCTATTACATTTAATTTTTTTAAAATGTTATTAGTGCTCCATAACGTTTAAAAGGCAGTCGGAACATCCAGGGTTTCGCCCTGATATCAGCAGTCTTGTTCCGACTTTTTTAACGAAAATAACGGAATATTTTTGCTCGGGTGCTTTTTTTTCTTCAGACAATTTTCGACGTTTTAACTAGCCATTTTTGACGGAATTTTTTGTATATCTTTCAAAAGCTATTGTTGTCTTGAGCTGAAGTTTGAAAAAATATTTTACCTGTGATCATTTTTTGTAAAGTTATGGCGATTCAAAGTTTGCTACATAGATAGATAGATAGATAGATAGATAGATAGATCGATAGATAGATAGATAGATAGATAGATAGATAGATAGATAGATAGAATGGAAAGATAGAAGTTATGGCGGTTCAAAGATTGCTACATAGATAGATAGATAGATAGATAGATAGATAGATAGATAGATAGATAGATAGATAGATAGATAGATAGATAGATAGATAGATAGATAGGTAGATAGATAGATAGATAGATAGATAGATAGATAGATTGATAGTTAGATAGATAGATAGATAGATAGATAGATAGATAGATAGATAGATAGATAGATAGATAGATAGATAGAATGGATAGATAGATGCCAATTTGGGACAATTAACGCGCGATACATTTCGCGCTATTAAAGCGTAAGCGGAGATTTAATGAATATTAGAAATCGTTCCAAATTGGTTGAAGGAAGCTTAATTACCATAAATGATGTGTTACTAAGAGTGAAGTTTATTACTTTGTACTTTATATGGCGTGTGGTGTGATGATTTCATTTTATTTGTAATACATATAATTTTTTCAGGCTATTACTGCTCCATAGACCTTAAAAAAAGCGGTCGAAACCGTCAGGGGTTCACCTTGATACGAACAGTTTTGTTTTTAATTTGTTGATGGAAGCTCTTTCATGCAAATCTAATCCTCTTTTTGAGTTAAGGGCTCCGTGTTTTCCTTTTTTAAGAGCTGTTTAAGTTTCAGATTTCTGGATGTACTTTTGGATGCCCCCTGAATTCGGGTGTTCAATTTAAAATCTTTTTTTAAAAAAATAAAAATGTTTTTTTTTTAAATTAAGATCAAAACAGAACAAACTCAGATTCGGACAGTTTAACAGAAATCGGAGTCACAATAAATTGAAACGTTTTACGTAAAATAAATTTTAAAGTTTTAATTTTTGTCCTTTGTGCCAAAACTGAAAGAACTTCAATATCAGGGGCGGATTTAAGGGGGAGCGGGGGGCGGACGCTTCTCCTCTCAGGGAATCGACACCCTGCCGACCCAAAGGTTCCCTCCCCCTTTGTACTATTTTGAGACATTCATTTTCGGTGACGGATCATAAAACTTTTCTAAGGGCGCCTTCGGTGCTAATATATACTATGTTTGAGGGCGGATTGCGCGCCGAGAAAACGCAATTTTTTTATTATAATTTTCCGAAAACTGCCTAAAAACACCTTTTTTGGCCTGCTTTTTCAAAAATTTCCCTTCGGCGCAGAAAAAATTGTCAACTTTTTAGTGTTTTGGGAGAGCTCGAAAAATCAATTTTGTCGACTTTAAAAAAAGGTCGACAAAAATTTTGAAATTTTTTTGAAAATCCGCCACCCTAGATCCTAGATGACCCTAATGAGACAATGCTAGAAGATCCTCGAGACAATCCTAGATGACCCTAATGACCCTTCTTGCAACTTTGAATGACGTGACAAACATTTTTCGAAAAAACTTTATTCGCCGATTTTTCATCTCTTGGAAGTGCGCCAACTAAAATGCAACTGAGCCACGAACAATTCAAGTTCAAATTCGAATAGTTCACAGCCGGAAAGAAACAGTGTTCAAATTCAAATAGTTCACCGCCAGAAAGAAACAGTTGCAAATTAAACTTTTAAAAGGGCTGACATTATTTTCATTAATTGCGTACATATCTTGGCGCGTAATATTTTTTAGTAATGGCTTGTGCAATAGGTAGCTAAAGCGTAGTCTTTGTAACTCATTTTTCACATGTTTGAAAATAAAGACCGACTCGCCTTTAAACTCTGTTTCCAAAAAACTAACAAAAAAACTCTTGTCTCAAATTACAACTGTCATCCGATTCAAATGAAACAAACTCATTTTATTCTGACTGTTTAACAAAAATCGAGAGACTCGATTTTTTGTTCATTAAAAATTGAACTTCAAATTGTCTAATAAAAATGTAACCACAAACACTTATTACCAGCTTTTCATCAAACTTTTCGTTTTGAATTTTTGGGGATCTGAACCATGCCTTAAAAAAATCCAAATGAAAATAGTTTTGACCCTCGTCACCTTCTTTTTGGAGTTGCGTAAAGTTCAATCATTACTACGAATTTTCACTAACTCACAAGCGATCGAATCAAAAACAGGTAGATGCAAAAAGCTAAAATTCAACGAGTACTGAAACGAAACAGCGATCAATGAGAGCTCAAATTCAAATAGTTGAAAAACCGCAGGAATATAAAAGCGCAACTTTTAACAATTAAACCTGACTTTGTTTTTTTTGGTTGGCTTAACTACTAATTGGTTGGATTAACTGTCATAGAGAAATCACTGAAGTCTGCTTCTTTTGTCAAAAGTTCCCGCACAAACTTTAATTGTTTCGACTTTTGTAACGAAAGTAACGGAATATTAGTGCTCGGGGTTGGTTTTTTTTCTTCAGACAATTTTCGACTTTTTAACTAGCCGGACTTTTTCTGACGGAACTTTTTCTTATCATTCGAAAGATATTGTTGTCTTGAACCTAAATTTGAAAAGATATTTTACCTGTGATTATTTTTCGTAAAGTTAAAGAGTCAAAAATTGCCATTTTGGCCAATTCGGGACAATTACGCGCGATATATTGCTTGAAAAATTGTTCCAAATTGGTTGAAGGAAGCTCATGTGCCATAATCGATTTGTTACTAGCAGACAAATTTATCTTTTTGTTCTTTGAATGGCGTGTGGTGGATGATTTTCACAAAAACCCTCAAACTAAAAAAAAATTCGTTTTTTTTTCTTATTACCTTCAACTTTTCATAATATTAATGCTCCATAGACCTTAAAAGGCATTCGGAACAAGTCATGGCTTTGCCCTGATACGAGAGTAGAGAAATAAATTGGAAATTGAACAGCTTATAATTTATGAAAATTTTGAAAATTAGAAAATAACTCCCATATTAAGTTGTAGTTATTATCATATTGATAGGAGACTTGTTCCTCCTCTCTGAATGTTTTATCATTTCAAATATATTGTTTCAACAAAATAATGGCACTTAAAAGTATTTCCCTTATTTTTTTGCAGAAATTAGTGCCGGGGGACTAGTCGGACTAGAAAAAAAAACAGAAAACAAACTGGCAAATGCAGATGTTTGTTGTCTTCTGCTTCATTTGAATTTTGAAAATTTCAGACGCATGATTTTAAGAGACCCGATTAGTTGTTAAGGACATGTATATTACAGTCGGGTCATTAATTGAAGTATAATGTGCATGTTTTTAGGCAAATCAAACCTGGGTGTTTCTCTTACCTCTCACATTCTGGGCAAAGTTATTTTGTTGAGCAAAGCTCTTTTTTTGCAACTCAAGGCCATTTTAAACCCTTAATAGCTGCAGCTGGGTCTAAATAAATATTCCCTAGCTCGTTTCAAGAACGTTGACTTTTTCTGTTTTTGATGCTCTCGGCCTTTTTTAAGTCAAAAAATAGTTTTTTGCCCCATTGTCTTCCAGATACCATAGTTCAGTTTCCACTTTTTCATTGTTGTTCTTTAGTAAATCTTGAATCAGCGTCGTCTGCAATTTTTTTGCGATAACCGATTTATCTGCTACCCAGTTTGAAAAGAATCTTTCACGTTTAGCATTTGAATGTACGGACATTGATGATCTCAAACTAAACAGTACAATCTGCAGAAATATTCTGACCAATCACAGATCGGGAGACGGCAGCACTAGTTTTCGGCTAAATGACCGCATGCGAGTGATGTCTCCGAATATATTCGGCCAGGAGCACGTTCTGTCGGCCGAACGGGAGATCCACTTGTATAATCTGATGCACACTTTTGGATTCTTCGTCGAAGTGCCAGACTGTTTCAAGAAGATCGGTTTTATTACATGTCTCAGTTACTTTCCCGGTGAGTGCGTTGTCAACGCAAAGCTAAAAACATCCAAATTGGCCAATTTTAAATTTTGTTTGACAATTTGCTAATTTGAATTGTTTCTATTTGAAGACTAACAACACTGCTCGTATCAGGGCAAAACTTTGAATTTTATGAC